GAGCGAGCTGCTCTGAGAACCTGGAGGCCATGGGCTGGGTGGAGGGAATGGCCTGACCTGAGACCTCCAGTAGAAGGGTGTGGCCTTCTGCTCTCACAGGCTGGAACCAGTGAGGAGCTCAAGGGAAGGCAGCCCTGGGTGCTGCCCACATGTGGCCTCCCAGGCCCAGCACAAGGTGAGTGACCTGGAGGGAGACAGCATTATCATGACTCAAGTCCTTTTGTTTTTCATTGCTGGGTTGAGCGATCTGAGCTCAGCCTCCCTCTCTATAGAGCAAGGGTTGATTCAAACTAACTAAAATTCACTGCTGTTTGAGTAAAAACTGACTCCTAGCTGACCCTCTGTTGAGTTTCTAAAGCTGTAAATCACATGGGAAGGGACTGCCCATCTCTCTTCCTGGGAACTACTGGTGGGTTCGAACTACCAGAGAAGTGTACAGCACAATGCTCTATGGGTTACAGACCAGCAGAGCTCTCGAGGGGGATGGCTCTCACCCTCTCTGTGACCCGCTGTGCCCACCTAACCCACCTGTGTGGTACAGAGGAGTCCCTCTGACCTGGGCTTGTATCCTTGGTGCTGCTGACAAGTCCTCTCCTTGGGGCTGTTTCCCCAGGACAGGGCAGGATCATGTGTGGAGGGCCTGGCACACAGCAAGTATGCCGTAAACACCATCTCTCCCTCTCCTTCTCCTTCTCCTTCTCGTTCTCCTTCTCCTTCTCTCTCTCCCTTTCCTTCACCCTCTCCCTCTCCCTCTCCTCCTCTCTCTCTCCCCCCTCCTCTTTCTCTCCCTCCCTCTCCTCCTCCTTCTCTCTTCCCTTCCCTTCCCTTCCCTTCCCTTCCCTTCCCTTCTCTTCTCTTCTCTTCTCTTCTCTTCTCTTCTCTCTTCTCTCTCCTCTCCTCCTCTCCTCTCCTCTCCTCCCCTCCCCTCCTTTTCTTCTCTTTTTTCTCTCTCCCCCCTCATTACTCAATTGCCAGTAAGCCTGTAGGTGGTGCTGGTGGCTGGAGCAGGAGTCTGCAGGGAGCCGGACCCGTGTGAGCCTAAGTCTCCTGAGAACTGGCTGTCTATTCCAGTTCTAGCCCGCTCAGTGTGGGCCAGGCTTTCCAGATCAAGGATGCCACCCTTGACCCAGTCAAGCTGTAGGGGAAGCTACTTAGCTGGAGCCGGTAGGCTTGCCCACACTTCCAGCACATTTCTTGTTACCCAGGGCACAGCCGAGGTCTGGCTGGGAGCTTATTCCCACCATCTGTGAAGCTGGTGCAGCAAGTAGAGGTCTGGGGCAGGTGGGTCTGGGGCCCAAGTTGAGTCTGTGAGTGGCAGGAGTGCTCGACTGCTAACTGGAGGGCTGGTGGTTTGAACTCACACAGAGGTTCTTCCAAAGAATGACCTGACACTCTACTCATGAAAGGTCACAGCCCTAAAAACATGGGGTCACCATGCAGCAGAGGTCTGCTACGCCCTCCTGTCATCTCTGGTTCACCCAGAGCCCAAGGCCCAGTCAGGCTGTTAGCTGGTTTTCTACACCTGCTGAGTTTGTGTAGATGTTTCGGTTTGGGGCTTAGGTTTTGGTAGGGCCTGGGGCAAGCCACTTAACTCCTCTCTTTGTATGCTTATCTCCTGTCCGCCCACATCATCCACTCTCCAGGAACAACTACAGAAATCTTTAGAAAATAGAAATCAAATACCACCCTCCTGTTCCAAACCCTCCAACAGCTTCCTCACAGGTTGCAGTCTACCTCACAGCCTTGTCCTAAGGATGGCGTCTGTGAGGCCCACCGTATGCACCTGGAGGCCATGGGTGCAGTGGGTGCACGTCTCCTGCCCACTGTCCAGTCCCAAGCCCGAGCTGGTCCCCATGTGGTTCAGGCCTCTCGAGCCCGTCAGGCTCCCAGCTCAGATGAGGCGCTCCTAGTGGCCGTCTCTAGGTTGAATCACACAGCAAAACTAGTCCTCTGTGTCATTTCCAGTTTTTAATGTTTTTCTTGTAAAACCAAAAATATAAAACTGGCAGGGGGACGGGAAACAAGTTCTATACATTTATATACACGAGGTCTGTGATTTCAAAACCAGAGTGGAGAGAGACAGAAGGCACAACCCAAGAAGTGCCACGCGGGTCCCGGATCCTGACAGCACCTCCGAGAACCGGCGGGGAGCCCGCTCACGTGGCAGGAAGCCTGGCAGCCGGGGTGGGGTGGGCACTACGGCCTGGCTGGGCACACGGTCAGGGTGGCACGAAGGTGGAGCAGAGCCCGAGGGAAGAGGACGGGTGGAGCCTCCCTTCAGGTGTTGGTGTAGATGGAGGGGATGTGACTCAGGCAGTGGTCAAAGGCCCCATTGGGGAAGAAACTGCAGTCCTCAGGGCTGTTGGAGACCATGTCTTCAGGTGGCTGTGGGGGCAGCGCTGGGCATGGGGCCTCCGTCAGGGCGTCGTAGCCTGTGGGCAAGGGGGAGAGGGTTGAGGCACGAGGTCATCCTGGCTTCCTTTTCCAGCTCTTGGCCCCCACTCTGCAGGCCCAGGGTCCCTCCTCACAGAGCCTTGGTGGGCCTGGTCCACTCTCAGCTCTTCTTGATGGGAGAGCTGGTAGATGGGGCTCAGGAGATAAGAACTCTATCTAGATCTAACGCTTTTTGCGGGGGCAAGAAAGCAGGAGACACAGGCCTGCGTTGATTTGGGAGTCTACCACTCAGAGCTATAACTTTGGAGGCAGAATTTTGGGAACTAGGCAAAGTGTGGGGGCAGGTTATTATAACTCTGCTCTCAAGGGCTGATCCCACCCCAGGTCCACCCTCACCCTTTCAGGTTCCCTTTTCCCCCACGAAGGGTAAGAAGCCCAGAGGGAAAAAAAAATCACATCCATCGAGCACGTATTGCGTTGAACAACGCTGTCATTTCACTGAGGCCTCACAACTGTCTCCTGGAATGAGATTCATTATCTCATGCCATAGAAGTAAAGCGTTCAGAAAGAACAAGACACTGGTCTACGCTTGTCTACACCCACACTGTTGGTAACTGGGGGAGTTTGCGGCCTGAATCCACTCTATCTAGCTCTCGAGATAAGAACTCTATCTAGATCTAACGCTTTTTGCGGGGGCAAGAAAGCAGGAGACACAGGCCTGCGTTGATTTGGGAGTCTACCACTCAGAGCTATAACTTTGGAGGCAGAATTTTGGGAACTAGGCAAAGTGTGGGGGCAGGTTATTATAACTCTGCTCTCAAGGGCTGATCCCACCCCAGGTCCACCCTCACCCTTTCAGGTTCCCTTTTCCCCCACGAAGGGTAAGAAGCCCAGAGGGAAAAAAAAATCACATCCATCGAGCACGTATTGCGTTGAACAACGCTGTCATTTCACTGAGGCCTCACAACTGTCTCCTGGAATGAGATTCATTATCTCATGCCATAGAAGTAAAGCGTTCAGAAAGAACAAGACACTGGTCTACGCTTGTCTACACCCACACTGTTGGTAACTGGGGGAGTTTGCGGCCTGAATCCACTCTATCTAGCTCTCGAGATATCTGGTTTACCCACTGTATATACCATCTCTCGGGTGGGGTTACTGTCCAGAAGACCCTAGATCTAAAAGAGGTGAAAAGGCCCATCCCTTGCTTAAAGGGCCCTGTTCCTGGACTGTTGTCACAAACTTGTGTGGCCGAAGGCAAACAGGCTTCAGTCTCCACATCTGTACAATGGGGCACAACTGCTCCTGAGGCCCCATGGCTCTACCACCATGCTGGTCTGGCTTCTGTCCTGTGACAGTTGGGGCTTGGTAGGGAAGGTGTGGGCAGTTGGAGGCATAGTTGCTGAGTCTGCTATCCAGGTGACTGGATGCCAGGCTGACAGTCAGGTGACAGGGAGGCAAAGAGGAGCCCTGGCAGGGGAGTGTGGATATAGCTACTTGTCCTACCTGAGATATTATTTCAGGGCGACCCACGACAACTAGAAAGTCCAGCTTGAGCTGGATGGTGGTGCAGGTAGTTTGATCTTGCACTGGCCCATGTGTGCCAACACTGAGCACGCTTACTTGTCTGTAGATGGACAGGGAAGGGAGACAGGCAGGGGCTCACCTGTGGCAGGTAAAGGTGCACTGAGGCTGTGGTAGCCATTGGGGCGAAGAGGGTTGAAGTTGTGGGCCTCCCCAGCCAGTCCACTCGCGCTGGCTGCTGGCTCGGGCATCCGGTAGCAGTCACCGTAGGAGAAGCAACTCTGGATGGAGTGGAAGCTGCCCTGGTAACCTGCGGAGGGCCGTGGGGCTGCGTTAACCAAAGGAAAGGTCTAGGGCAGGAGGGGACTGTCCCAAGTGTTGTGCTGGTCCGGGAGGGTCCTGCCCTCCAGTGTAGGCGTGGCTGAGGGAAGCAGATCCCGGAGATGGAAGTGTGCTAGAGGTTGGGCTGCTCCCAGCTCGGTTCCAGCCAAGGGGTCAGCTGAGGTGGCCTCCCGTGCTTGCACCAGGCTAGGTCGGCTGTGGCCGGTGTCAGCACACTGAGAAGGGGCTGTGGACTGTTGGGACAACCGGCTTCCTTCCCGGTCACTCACTGTTCTCCTAGTACCAGCCTTCCTCCCCGGTGCTGTTCCCTGCTGACTTCTGACTTCCTGTCAATGGGACAGACTTCCTCACTCCTGAGAACTAACCTCACCAGGATGCCCTCCTGGCTGGTCTGTGTCTGGGTTCCAGTGGTGACCCTTGCTGTCTCACCGTCAGCTCTGAGCACCACCTGCCTGTCCCAGGTGGATGTCTGTTCTGCTGGGGCCTGACAGTCATGAGCATTGGCAGCCAGGCTGCAGGCCAGAGCTTACCTTGCGGGCTGGGCAGAGGTGCGGTCGGCGGGCTCTGGAAAGGTGGGTAGGGAGGCTTGCTGGGGAGTGTGGAGAAGGGCTGGCCTCCTGGGGAGTGGCTCTGGGAGGACGGTGGCAGCGGAGGTGGCCTGAGCTCCTTCAGTGGACTGACCAGGGGCGAGAGGAGGCCAGGTCCCAAGCTAGAAAGCAGAGATTGTGTCAATGTGCAAGGCCTTGGGGCTCTCAGGGCCAGAGGCATGGCTTCTCTGCTTGTCCCCCTCCAGGGAGGAGTTGCTCAGCCCTCAAAAGCCCACCTACTTTAACTCTGGCAGTGCTGTTAGAAGAGGAAACTGTTGTTAGAGCATGATGAAACCGGAATGTTATTATATATCACTGGGTTGGAACCAACCCCAGAGCGGATCCTCTAGCAGGTTTTCAGAGGCAGTAAATACCACGGGAGGAGACAGCCCATTTTTCTCCCATGGGGCAGCTGGCCGATTTGAACCACGTGCCTTTGGGATGGAAGTGCAACTCCATAATACTAGAACACCAGACCTTCCTCAGATTGGAATAGAAATGTTAAAATGTTCTACATTTTAGAATACAAAGAGAAAAACTGACCAAGTGTCTAGGATATTTTCATACAAAGAGAAAAACTGACCAAGTATGTAGGATATATTCAAATCCCAACTGGGCAGACTGTTTAATGTCTCTAAGCCTTGATTTCTTCACAACATTGCTTCTTCACCACCTGGCACCCTGCAGTTCTCAGCCGCCTCTGAATTAGTCCCAGCACATGACACCATGTGCCATGGGAGGAAACGCTGCCCTGTCCTGTATGATTCCTGTAATTGGTTGTGGATCACAATATGATAAGATTCTCATTGACTGGTTTTTGGAAGTAAATTGCCAGGCCTTTGTTCCTAGTCTTAGTCTGAAAGCTCTCCTGAAACCCGTTCAGCATCACAGCAAAGGCAAGCCTCTGCTGACAGACGTGTGGTAGCTGCGACTGCACGTGACATGCATCTCCTGGGAACCGACCCAAGTCGTCTGCGTGGAAGACAATGAGAATTCTACAGTGAACTCCTATTGCAAGGGCTAAACGCCCGCTCCCTTCCATGCTTCACGGAAGTCCAGCACTCTAGCTCTGGGTGTGTAACTCTGGCCCCGGAGGAAGAGCCTAGACCGTTCACTCGCTAACAGGGGCATATTCACAACACTAACAGGTGCTGTTCATGGAGCCCTCACTTTATTTACTCCTGGCTCGAGACAGCAGTTCTAGTGTCCTTTCAGCAGATCTGAAAACCATGACTGCTCAGAGCTATTGTCCCACTTACGCCCAGCCTCACAGCACCAACCTTATGGGTTAGTGTGATGTTAAAACAGTGTAGACACAGCTTACAGTGTAGGGTCTGGTACATCATGAGTCATCACCATTGTCTGATTATCAGATTGTCGGGTCCACGTTAGGACAAATACACTTTGTCCTGCAGAGTGTATTTTAAGTAACTTTCTCTGGTCGCCATACCTGGGCATCTTTCTACCATTTGCATGTCTCCTGTGATGATCAGCTCACCACCTTCTTTCATACAGAGTTTGACTGAAAGGGATGCAGGACTACTTTTAGGCTCTAGAAGTTCATGCTTTGAAACAAGAGTATGTGGTCACCCTCAGCCTGTCTCGGCCCAATCGTGCTGAGTGGACTGTAGTCGGCAGGTTGTCAATCTTCCTCTGTGCTCCTGTTTACAGACCAAAACCACCCTGAGGTCAGCTGGGCTTGAAGGCTCTTGGGGTCAGGCTGAAGGCCCACAACCCATAAGAACGTGAAGTGAAGAGTGTGGGAGAGAGAAAAGCCGAGGGCGAGTCAGAGTCTCTACTCAAGAGTCTCCATTCTCTTGGAGTTTGTGGATTCACTGCACCATCCATGTGTATTACAGCTCCAGCATGTTACTCAAACCCGGCCTCTGAGACATGAGGTGTTAACCCCCTGGATGAGGCTACCTCAACCAGGAAAAGATCTGGGACAGGCTGGTGGGCTCCAGGTCTGCAGCTCCCTTGGTTTCCTCTCTGTTCCCTGTGCCATGAGAGAGAACCCTCCCTGACCCCAGCCCTCATTGCATTGCCACCATCAACATGTCTGGGAGCTCGCTGAGTGCAGGGGGAAGGTGGCCTCCAAGCTGTGACTCTGGCCACTGGGCTAGCAACCAACACATGATAGGTAGGGCACATCAGACTCTTTATGTGAACGAACTCATCAAATCTTGAGTTCACGCTCATGGGGATCCCTGGTAGCACACTGGCTAGGCAAGGGACTGTGAACAGGAAGGTCAGTGGTTCAGACCCACCAACCTGTCCACTGGCGAAAGATGTGGCAGCCTATTTCTAGAAGGTTCAAAGCCATGGAAACCCTTTAAGGCAGCTCTACTGTGTCCACGAGGGTTGCAATGAATTGAGACTGACTCAGTGGCAGTGGGTGTGTTGTGTGTTGTGTGTTTTGTGATTCCCCCCCCCCATCTCACAATGCCACTCTGGACAGGGTTTACAACACTGCTGTAAACCGTAGAGGCCTGTACACAAGCCACACGTCCTGATAATCAGTTCTCTTGGCTTAGGCTGGGCTGAGGCATGGCTGGGAGAGAGGATTCTTCTCCTCGGAGTGCTGCTGCCTGCCTGCCTTGTCCCTTCCCATCTCCACCCTGGCCCTGTGGCAAACTTTCTAGCTGGCACATGGCAAATGGCTAATATATGCTAACAAGTGGGTTTCTGAATCACTCTGCTACAAAACCCAGGGATCAACGCTGCAGAATTAAGGAGAACCAGAGCTGAAGGGAGAAAAACATGCATTTTCAGAGTTTGTTTTTCCTGTCTTGAACCTGCCAGAAATCCATATTTGCCACCTTCACAGCCAGTGAAATGAGACAGAACCCGGCTCTATTCACAGCAGACACTGAGGTGGAGGGGCTGTTCTACCTGAACCCCATGAGAAGACAGAAAAAAAATTGCCCTGTGCCCTCTTCTGAGTCATGAAAATGATTCCTAAATCAAATACTTCTTGCTTCAATTGGAACCTATAAAAATTAATATAAAACCTCACTGGCCTGGCAGACAGAGCACTTCATACCTCGCACGGGGCCCAGGAAAATCCACCCTGCATGGCGTCTTCTCCGCGCCAGGGTAAATAAATTTGGTCATGAAGTCAGGCCCTCTTAGAATATTTCTGAGTGAATCAGATAATTCTGTCAAACTGTTTAAACGTCCTAGCAAACCGCTGGGGCCACGAGGGGCTGTTCCCTGTTGACTTTGGCTGGAAAGGAAAAGGCTAAAGGCCCCCCTTTCCCACCCCCCAGTCCTCAGGGGATGAAAAAAGAAACCTCTTTAAGCGGGCCAGGCCAGGCTGGTGTCAGGCGTGTGGGCCTGCACTTCTGCCGCCCCACTGCAGGCAGGGCTGTGTGGGGTGTCCTGTGCTCCTGCCCCCAGGGCCAGGGGCTGCGGCCAGGTTGGGGGTCCCCTCTCTTGTCATCACTCTGCCTCTCGCTGCAGTAAACCTGCCTGGCACTTGTGTGGGCGGCCGGCAGGCAATGGCTCAGGCCAGCAGAGGGTACAGGCCGAGTGGGACAGGCCAGTGGGTAAGCAAGCCGGCTGTGGGCTAAGCTTGGTGGAACCTGTACTGGGTGACATACACAATGCCAAGTCGTGTAGCTGGCCCTCACCATCTCCCCAGGACAGTACTTTAATGCCCACCGCAGAGACAGGATTTCTTGAGTCCCTTTACTCATCCTTTATTTGTTTTGGGCTGCCTCATGAGGGCGCTCTACCTACACTTACAGTTGTTGTCTCCCGCTGCCCTGTGGATGGTGCCTCTGCCACAGGGAGGGAGCATCCCTGATGCCTCCTTCTCTCCTCACTGTTATTAGTTGCATGGGAAGGATTCTAACTTAGTAAAGGCTCCACATGTGTAGAGGAGAACTGCTCCAGCAGGCCTTCGAGGTTATGACTGCCACTGAGAAAAATGGTAATTCCAGAACACCTAATTATGTTCATAGAAATCTGTATGTAGACCGAGACACTGTTTGAAACAGAGTCTGGGAGCTATGTGTGGCTTAAAACTGGGAAAGGTGTGTGTCAGGGCTGTATTTTTTCTGTATACCTATTCAGTCAGGGTGCTGAGCAAATCATTCGAGAAGCTGGACTTTTATCAAGAACAGTGTGGCATCAAGATTGGAGGAATACTCATCAAGAACCTGTGTTGTGCATGTGACACAACCTTGATTACTCAAAGAGAAGAGGACCTGAGGGATCTGCGGCAGAGGATCCTGCCTTCAATATGGATTGCATCTCAAAATCAAGAAAACAAAAATTTTCTCCACTGGGTCAATAGACAACATCATGACAGATGGAGAAAAGACTGAAATTGTCAGCAGTTTCATCTTTCTAGGGTCCACAACAACACCCTGGGTACTAGCAGTCAGAAGACTGGGAGATGGTTAGAATTGGAAAAGTCTACTGTCAGAGATCTCTCCAAAGTCCTGAAGAACAATGATGTGAGTTTAAAGACTAAGGTGCATCAGGTTTAAACCACAGTCCAAACATTTGCTATGCATCTGAGAGCTGGATAGTGAATAAGGAAGAGAGAAAAAGAATTGATGCCTTTGAACCATGTGTTGGAGAAGAGTACTGAACATCCCACAGACGGCCAGAAGAGCAAACAGATGTGCTTTGGAGAAGGTGCAGCTAGAGTGCTCCCTAGAGGTAAAGATTACAAAGCTTCGTCTCACATACTTTGGGCATGTTGTTATGAGAGGCTATTCTTTGGAAAAGGACATTCTTGGAAAAGTAGAGTCACTGAAAGAAAAGACTCCACCCCCCCCCCCAACAAGATTGACTGATACAGTGTCTGCAGCAAAGGGCTCATTGATGATAAAGACAGTGCAGGAGAGGCCAGGGTGAGGATCGGTTGTTCATAGGGTAGCCATGGCTTGTACTCATTGGCACCCAACAATGACAGCCTTTGCATTGGCACTGCACTTCCTCACCACTAAGCCACCAGAGCTCAGGGAACCTTAGATCTTATCAATCCTGTTTTACTAATACTTTCAGAGGGAGCTCTAGTGGCTTTTTGAGTAAGGAGTTGTGCTGCCAACCTAAAGGCAGGCAGTTCGAATCCAAAAGCTGTTCTGTGGAAGAAAGATGAGCAGTCACCTCCCATACAATTTACAGCCTCTGAACTCTCACTGGAGGGTCAGCTATGAGTTGACTCTGGCTCAATGGTTGTTGTTTGGTTAATACCTTCTGAGTGTTTCTTCCTCCTCACACCCCTGGCACCAGGGCTTAAGGTGTGGTCATGCACCCCACATTCCATCTGCTCCAGAGCAATGGAGTCCCTGTCCCAGGACCTGACCATATAATTTTTGACATCCTTCAGGACAGGCTTGTGTTACAGCCTCTGTGAGCTGCCTCTGATGAACTCAATCCAGTTTGTTACCCCACATGATAATCCAGGTTTCCCCAAAAAGCACAAGATCTATGCCTGAATTGACCCATATAAGTTTCCTTCTTCCCAACCTCGTTACTTGGCCATCCCCTCTCTGACATCTTCTGCTTCTTGCCTGCCCCCTCAGCCCCCCGGCTCCGCTCAAGTGAACAGATTCTGCAGGTCTGTCCATCTACTGCCTCTCCACAGTGAGCTTCCTCCAAGGCTGAAATAAACTCTGGGTTTAGAACTTGCCTGACTCTGGGGCTAAAAATTTGTACATTGAATGAAAATGAATGGATGACCCAGCTAGGAGCACGAGTCTGGTGATGAGGCTGGTCTAGGGCCATGCATAGGCAGGTCAAATCCAAGGCCAAGGCTTCATTCAACCTTGGGAAGGAAGAAACAGGGTGGGAGGCAGGTCCTGAGACCAAGACTTGGGGACAAGTTCAATCAAGTCCTTGCCAGTGATAAGCAAACATGGCAGAGAGGGCATGGAAGGGCAGCGGGAGGGGCTACTAGGCCTTCCTCTGCCTATTTGCAGAGAAAACAGATTTTAGCAGCCTGGGGTGGGGGCAGCAATTAACACATTCACTATTTCCAGCCAACTAAGTGGCCGCAATGAGAACCACATTGAAAGCAGGAAGAGGCTGCCCCACCCTGACCCCCAGTGACCTTCTGTGAGAATTCCCAATGGGGTGGGCAGCCTTGTTATAGCCGAAGTAGCCAGGGATGGAGGTGAGACTCAGGCCAGCATCTCTGGAGTAGGCAGTGTGCAGTCTGGTCACCAAAGGGACGGCCTGAGCCAGGGAGAAGCTTGGCAGTGGCTGCTCCGGATCTAGGGAGTTGAGGCAGCATCTTCCAGAGCCTTCCCCAGGGGGGATGAGATGAGGCAGCAGTTAAGCCTGAGTGCCAATCCCACCGCCCTCACAGAATTGTGCTTCAGAAACAGTGGTCGTTGTCGAGACAATCAGAGGGTGTGCGGGACAACTGTCCTGCTTGCCTCCCGCAGGAGTGTCCATTTACTGCCCCACAGGAGGACTGGCTTGGTGTACATACCCTTCCCTGGTGCTCTCGGCCGTGGACAGAGGGGACAGATGATGGTGGTGGTGACTAGCAGCATCCAGAGGGTGGTGCCTGGATGGGACATCGTGCGTGGCAGGCAGGATCCCCGATGCCAGTCCGTTATGGGGGGCAATGGAGCCAGGATACACGCCTGCAGAGAAGCAAACAAATCCTGCTGGGCTCTGTCTACTCCCTAGAGGGACTGTGTGCACACGTCTGTTTATGGGAAGACAAGAAGGAAATTGAGCAAGGTTACAGTGATAGAAGTTTAGGGGTTCAAGATGCCAGTGCCAGCTTGCTCGGCTCGGGTAGAAGGCACTGTCAGAGCTGAGGGGGGCTGGCCCTCAGGGAGGGTCTGGTGGTTTAAGAGCAGACAGAAATGAAGAAACAGGACTCTGTGTGAGTCCAGAGGTAGAGAGGGAGCCAAGAGTGGAGAAAAACTCCAGAGATACAGACCCCAGCTCAGAGCTTGGAGGGGCCTTCTAACAGGGAGGGCTGCTAACGAGCTGTCTTTGGAGAGGATGCACTGAGCACCTCTAGAAGTGCACGAACAGTGGCGGGGTGTCTACTGTGAGGACTCCTAGGGGAGAATGAATGTCTGGGCTAGCTGAGTGACAGACTGGCCAGGGGAATCTCTGAGGAAGGCTGCCATGTACGGTTGTACAAGCTGTATGTTTCAGTTGAGGGGAGGAATCAGCTGGGCTCTAGCCTCAAATGCTAAATCGATTAAAGATACTTGTAGGGTGAAACCACCTTTGTATCAGAAAACCCCCAAAGCCACTTTCCAAACACCTTCATTAAGGAGTGCCACTCAGACCAGAGAACAGACTCATACCCTGGGATTGGTGTCTAAGAGGGAGTAAAGGTTGTGAGCTTTTAAAAAGTTCTATTTTTATCTGGGGGTGTGGGGGAAGGAGCCTATCTTTCAAACCGTGTTTAATTAGGCCATGCTTGTGTTATTAGAAATGATCATGATTTCCTCAAATCGATGCATCAAGTTGATGCTGTGTGAGAACATTGGCCCCCAGGGCCAGGCCCAGGGCAGTACCCACAAATGACTGGCTGCTACGTTTTTAATAGCATTCTGTTCATCAGACAGGGAGCTCCTGTGATTTTGTTTTCATTATTCTAGGAGGACCACTCTGAGAACACACGAGGCTCTTTTCAAGATGGAGAGGCAAGGAAGAAACCTTACCTTTTCAAGTGCTTGGGATTCTGAGGCTAGCTTGTTCAAGCCTGCAGTTCACGGAGTTGCTACAGGGGACTGAGTAGGGCAGTGGCAGGGAGAAATGTGAGTGACAGTGTAAGGATTAGCATTAGGGAGCAGTGGAGACTGTGGCAAAGTGGCGAGAACATGTCTCTTAGAGCCTAAATTACAGAGACACTAAGCCTATGAGGTCAATCTGTATCACCTGCAGTCCATAGTGGTGCAGGGGTTACACACTGGCTGCTAATCAAAACGTCAGTAGTTTGAAGCCATCAGCTGCTCTGCAGGAGAAAGGTGAGGCAGTCTTCTCTAGAAAAGGTTTGTTGTTTTGTACCATCGAGTCAGAACCAACCCCTAGTTGACCCCTCCATGGCTTTTCAGAGGCAGTTAATTGCATGGGAGGAGATTGCCCATCCTTTTCCCACGGAGCAGTTGGTGGATTTGAACCACGTGCCTTCGGGATTGCAGTGCAGCTTCTTGCCACTAGGCTGCCAGTTATTGAAAACTTCGTGGAGCAATTCTACTCTGTTTGACACCGTCGCAGAGGCAGAACTGACTTTATGGCAAGGGGTTTGGTTTTGGTGTTTGGCCTAGAGTTAAAGAGCTGCAGGCACCTGGCTATGACTGGTGAGATAAAGCCAGGCTCAGATTGCAAGCCTTACAGTAAATGAGCATTGTTAACAACAACTCATGAGGATCAAGAATATACCCATGTACCAGATGCTCTCTCTGTATTACCTACTTTACTCATCTCAATAGCTGTAGATGGGAGATAATATGATCTCTAAGAGTGCTCTGGAGGCCTAGTGGGTAAGGACTTGTGTTGCCAATCCAAAGGCAGGCAGTTCGAACCCACCAGCTGACTCTCAGGAGAAAGATAGGCAGTCTCCTCCCATGTGATTTAGGGGCTCTGAGAGCCCACTGGAGGGTCAGCAACGAGTCAGTTCCACCTCGGCAGCAATGAGTGAAAATATAACGTGACCCCACTTTAAGGTGAAGAAACTGGCTGAAGAAGAGAAATTATTTGTCCACAGTCACATTGTTGTTGTTGTTGTTATGTGCCGTCAAGTCACCTGCGACTCATAGCAACCCTATGTACAACAGCCCTAAACTCCGCTCTGTCCTGTGCCAATCGCACTGTCTCCAACACTCCCATCCCAATTATCCCAATC